GCCTATTTGATTTGCCAGTTGATGTGAGTTAAAGTTTTCCTTTAATATTGTAGTTAATTTTTTTTTTTTTGATAAAAAGAACCTTGTACAGAGAATCTGAGGGCATTTGGGAGTGGTCCCAGCCAGACTGGTGGAGTCAGGGAAGGCTTCTCAGTAGAGGAGCAATTGATCCCCAGAAGAAAAAGGTGAGTGCCTTGCCAGCCTTGGCTCATTCGCTCACCTAAAGAGAAATGGGAGAGGAAGAGAACGAGATGTGGTTTTGGGAAAGAGATGTGCTGGAAGATGGGGAGACAGAAAGAGATATAGAGAGAAATGGAGAAAGAGAGAGAGAGGACTGGAGAGATAGGTGCCTGGCACATGGAAGGTACTCACCAAATATTTGTTGAATGAATGAATTAATGAATAAGCAGATGTATGTGGGAGGGCCTGAGTAAAGACAGTAGAGAGATATAGAGTGTGGGTAGAGAGATAGGAAAGAAACAAGTGATATGAATAAAGATGGTGAGAAGAAAGAGTTGTGGACACAGATATGGGAGATACTAGAGAATGGGAGAGTTGAAGAAAGACATAAGGGAAGATGAAGACAGAATGCCTGCCATGTGGACAGAACTCAGTGAAAGTGTTGTTGAATGGATGGTTGAGCCTCCACACTTGGAGAGGGAGGTGAGGAATGGATATAGAGAAGAAATCACACTATTAGAGAAGCAACTGTACCAGTTTCATCCTGAGGTGATGAGGGCCTTGACTAGCAGTGAGAATTAAGAGGTGAGGAAATACCCAAGATATTTCAGAGACAGAATGGACAGAACTTGAAGATTGATAGGCTAGGGAAATTGAGGGAGAAAGCAGAAAAATATAAATCCCAGTTTTTTTAAAATGTTTAATTACTTATTTTTGAGAGAGAGAGAGAGCACAAGCCAGGGAGGGGCAGAAAGAGAGAGAGGGAGACACAGAATCCTAAGCAGGCTCCAGGCTCAGAGCTGTCAGCACAGAGCTGGACATGGAGATCTATCCCATGAACCATGAGATCATGACCTGAGCTGAAGTCAGACGCTCAACCGGCTGAGCCACCCATGTACCCGTATAAATCCCACGTTTTTACCTTAACTGATGGGGTGGATTGTGTTTTCACAATATAGGAATATATTCACAATATAGGAATATAGGAGGCACCCAGTCTGGGTGGAAACGGATGATTTTGAAATGCCTGTGAAACACTATGGAGAAGATGTCTAGAGGACGGGTAGATATTCCAGACTCAGGTGTTAAGAAAGAGGCCTGAGGTAATGGTGTAGACTGAGATGGAGATATAGACTGGAGATTTGACAGGGAATAAGAAGTAGTTAAAACTGGCTATGTATGACAAGATTGCTGAGGTGAGCCCCACGGTAGATGCTCAAAATTTGTTGAATGAAAGTGAAAGAGAAAAACTCAAAAGTCTTCCAACAGCTGAACTGTGTGAAAGCACATGCATAGGTTACAGGAGTCTGAAGGGATTCAGGCCTGATTGATTTATGTCCCTGGGAAAGGGGATGTAAGATTCTAACATGGAACAACTTCCATGGTAACATGATCTAAGGTGTAGGCCATGTAGAATCAAGGTGGTGGTTGGAGCGGGCAAGGTAGAGCAACTGTGAAATTAGTGTATTGAAAGATCATTTGCAAGAAAGATCATTGCAAGACAGATCATTTGGGTTGCTCATACAACCCAACTGTACATCATCAAGTGAGTGGATAAAAAAAAAAAACTGTGGTACATCCATATTATGGAATACCACTTGGCAGTAAAAAGGAACAAGCTACTGGGGCACCTGGGTGGCTCAGTCAGTTAAGTGTCAGACTCTTTTTAAAAAATTTTTTAACATTTATTCATTTTTGAGAGACAGAATGAATGGGGGAGAGGCAGAGAGAGAGGGAGACAGAGTCTGAAGCAGGCTTCAGGCTCTGAGCTGTCAGCACAGAGCCCGACACGGGGCTCTAACCCAAGGACCGGGAGATCATGATCTGAGCTGAAGTCAGACGCTTAACCAACTGAGCTACCCAGGCGGCCCAGCATCAGACTCTTCATTTCAGCTCAGGTTGTGATCTCATGGTGTGTGAGTTCAAGCCCCACATGGGACTATTCACTGACAGCATGGAGCCTGCTTGGGATTATCTGTCTCCCTTTCTCTCTGCCCTTCTCTGGCTCTCTCTTTCAAAAATGAATAAATAAACATTAAAAAAAAAAAAAAAGGAACAAGCTACTGATACATGCAACAATAGATGAATCTCACAGACATTATACTGAATAAAAGAAGCCATATGCAGGAGTGTGTACTATATGATCACATTTATATGAAGTTCAAGAATAAAGGCATAATATAGTGTTATAAATCTATAGGGGTATAAATTAGTGGTTGGTTCTGCGAGGGGAGGGGGATTGACCAAAAAGAGGCATGCGGAATTTTCTGGGGTGATGGAAATGATCTGTATCTCACTTGTAATGTTGTTTACATGCATGTGTAGAATGCCAGAGGATATCAAATTGTACATCCAAGATCTGTGCATTTTACTGCAAAGAATTATATCTCAATGTTTAGAAATACCATTTACATGGATATTGAGTCTCCCAGAGAGATGGCAGAGGTTGGAATAGAGAGGCAGCTGGAGAGTTAGGTATCTGCTCTTGGTGAATGTGAAGGATGTTAGACAATGAGAGCACCGAGGCTGAAGGTGGTGAGGTCCGATGTAAGAACCTCAAAAGAGTGGCTGTGGCTAGAGGTTGAAAGTAGAACATGGGGCCCATGAATTTGTTGAAAGTGTTTAAAAGGACTTGGCCAGAGAAGTCTACCACATCTCACCACTACTAACAGAGGAGGAAACTCCAGGTGAGGTGGGGTTGCCGTGCTGGGATTCCAGAGGGCCTTCTGTGTCTTCACCTCTTTTCCTGCTCTGAGCTCTGAGTTGTGTGTTTTCTGGTTCAGTGTTAAAGAAGCTGGACCAGAGGTGTGCCTGGCTGGCTCAGTCCATAAAGCATGGGATTCTTGATCTTGGGACTCTTGTTCAAGCCCAATGTTGGGTATGGAGATTACTTAAAAATAAAATCTTTTTTAAAAAAGTTGCTTTCAAATAAATAAATACATAAATAAGTTAGATCACAGACACATATACGTCCACTTCACAACTTCTTTATTCTCTGCCTTTCCTTTAGAGTCAGTCCCAGTAAAAGTATCTTTTGAAAGATTCCTTTCTTGGGATGATTATTGCATCAGTTCCTGTCCTGCAGGTTACAGTTCCTTAGAGAGTCTCAGAGTTACTGAAAAGGGTCCTTGAATTTACACCTATACCAGGATTTATTCTAGATGGACTTAAAAAAAATCCAAGTGCAATCTTTGGAACCCACAACATTTTTGGGTATTGGAAATCTTAGGTAGAGAAAAGAGGTGGAGACAGCAAGATACCCTTGAGTTCAAGCAGAGCTGTAACAATGGTCATCTTAGCCCCAGACTGGGGAGGGGCTAGGGGTAACATACACTGAGCGTCCACAGCAGTGAAGTCTGGAAATTGACAGATGCTAACCTCATTTCACAGATGTGTAAGCAGGGGAACCAGGGCTCCAATTTAGGCGGACTCAACTTCTAAGCCACATTGTTCTGGGACATGGAGCAGTGCCATGTGATTGCGCATGTACTGTGTAAAGCATGGAGTTTTATCTTCAGGCTGGTAGCCCTTCCCAGCCCTGCAGCCCCACTCCACTGGTGGTGATCTCTGCTCCCTCCTCAAACTGCTTCTCAAAGTTGAGTAGAAGGAACAATTTCTTCCACATTGATTCTTTGGGGTGGAGATGGTCTGTTGATAAGATGAGGGAAGGTAAGGGACTGGGCAGGCAGAATCTGGAATTCAGGCCCTTTTGAGAAAAACCACTTCTGGGTGTCTCAGGCCTCCTCAGGCTCCATGACCACCAGGGGGCAGTCCTTGCCTAGCCATGGCACCTCAATTCCATACCCTCAGGTTAGAGGCCCTGAGGAGGAAGCCATTCTCCTAATGGAGAAAGGCTGATTCAGTCCTTCCCAGATTATGTGGATTCTGTTCTTGTTTAGGTGGTTCAGAGAGGCTAAATAATTTGTTCAAGATCATATAACTAGTTTGTGGGGGATCTGGCATTTGAACCCAGCCTGACTTCAAGCCAGCATTCTTAATCATGCGATTACTGTTTCCCCAAAACAAAACTCCAGATCACTGAAGTGAAGACTGGGAATTGCAATCCACGAATGTATTATGAGACAGAGCTAGAAACAGAGACACGAAGGGAAAAAGATGTACTAACATAAAAGGAGCCAGAACTGTGGGGTGAGGTTTCTGCCCATGTCTCACCTGGGGCATTGTACAAGTAACCCTCCTTTTCTATGTGCTGTGGTATCTCATTTGGTGTGTAATGCATTTGCAATAATGTGTGGTATATTCTTGTACCAATCCCTATATAACCCTGGAGTTATGAACTCAATGTCTTTCCTTCATGTCTGTAAGAATATTTTTCATGTAAGGGGCACTTGGTAGTTTCTCAAGAAGTGCTAGCTAAATAGTGAGTAAAATAATAAATGAGTCGATACGTGGGTGATAAGTGCTTGTAGAACACACTAGATAAAGCAGACCTCAGCCTGAGGTATATTCCTTTAATGGAGATCTGAATATGAAAGAGTACAAACCTCTCCATCCATCCCTTGCACTCGGCCAAACCACCCAAGTCCACACAACCTAAGTAAAACAGATTGATTGCTATGCAAATGAAGCTTCCAAACAAAGACCCTAGCAACCGTCTCCTGCCACCACCAATCAGCTTGCTTCTCCTAATCCCCTCCATTATAGAATTTCTAGAGCAGCCCTGGTGGGGGGAGGGGGGGGGGAGCAGCCTAAAGGGAAGGGAACAGATGGGATGAGCCTTGGCACGGCTGAGCCAAGATGAGGGGAAGTAGGTTAGCTCTGAGCCCAGGACGATTCCTGGAGGTTTATTCTGGGTAAAGCGTTGGTCTTCTTGAACCTCAGAAGATAGGGGAACCACATCCTGGTCTCACCCACCCACCCTCGTGTTAGCAGCCATGTAAGCCCCACCCTCCCCCTCAAACACTTGGGCCACTTGACCATGTTTTGCCCCCACCTCCTAGTGACCCAGATACTGCCATTAGCACCATCCTCTCTCCTCGGGGAGGCAAGCATTTGATGCCTGAGGTCCTAGGCAGTTGAGGTCCCTGATAAGTGATAAGTGATAAGTGATAAGTGATAAGTGATAAGTCCTGTGTGTCATAGGAAGCTCTCAACCTCCATCTGGTGACCCTGGCCACAAGTAGTAGGTTGTTCTTCGCCCAGAGCTTACCCCTCAGATCCCCCTCGCCAACTGGAATGCCCTCTGACATGCCCCGGATGCTGTTGCTCATCTTTATCATGGTCCATCCAGGTGAGAGGGCTTTCTCCCAGAACCCTGAGGGGTGTGGGGCTGGGAGGAGGGTGGATGGGAGAGGCTGACGCGGAGGCCTGAGGGGAGTGGCCAGGAAAGGAAACAGGGAGCCTATGGGGCCCTCCAGAAAGCTGACACACAACATGGACATCCCCGGTTCACAATTGCCTCCATTTCTCCATGTTGCCTGCTGGGAGCGTCACTCCCCAGAGGCCCTTTCTTCTCAGCTACCACCCTAGTAAGATAAAATTGAAAGAACCAGTATAAAGGGCTTAAAGAAGGAAGAGGTGATTTTTTTTTCTGAAGGGGTCAATTTTAATTCGATGAGCTTAATAAGCCTATTAAGCAAAACTTATTATCTAAGGTCTAGATGTAATTAGGAGTTTGGGAGACCTAATTAGCTCTAAGGGAAGTTTCTTAGTGAAACTGATTTTAATTAACTTAGAGACTTTAACTATGAGCCATATCCATTAACTACATTCAGTGTAGACTCCCAGACCCACAGCTTTAGGATCAGCTGGGAACCTGGGGCAAATTCTCAGGCCCCACCCTAAACCCACTGAGTAAAAGTCTCTGGGTGTGGGGCCCAGGAATCTGTTTGAACAAACACTCTGGGTGATTCCCATGTGCTCTCAAGTTTGAGCACTTCTGAAAAAGAAGAATGGCAGGTAAATTTCATGAACTAGAGAACCTAATCAGAGATTTTACTAATTGGTTTAATTTATCAATTTGGATGAGTTAAATAGGGATTTCAATCATTTCTAGCCAAGTCTTCATCAGAAGACTTAATTAATTAATGCTCTTTTTTAATTTTTTTTTAATTTCTGAGAGAGAGAGACAGCGTGAACAGGGGAGGGTCAGAGAGAGAGGGAGACACAGAATCTCAAATAGGCTCCAGGCTCTGAGCTGTCAGCACAGAGCCCAACGTGGGGCTCGAACTCACAAACCGCGAGATCATGCCCTGAGCCGAAGTCGGACGCTTAACCGACTGAGCCACCCAGGTGCCCCTAATTAGTTAACGCTCTTTAACAAAAAACAAAGTAGCAAGGGTGGTGTACTATATATATAGTATGTCACTGGTGTGAAAATAATACCTGGAATAATATAGTTAATTATTAGTTAACTAGAGAGCCACATTCATTACCAAACTTCAATTTTAACATGACAGGTTAAATTTCAGTAAGACGCTGCTCATGAATGTAGGTGGGGAATGATGGGATGGGAAGAGGATGAGAGTTGGTATAAGAAAGAATTTGAAAAGCTAATTTTTATTATTTATTTATTTTAAATATTTTTTTAAGGTTTATTTATCTATCTTGAAAGACAGAGAGGGGCATCTGGGTGGCTCAGTTGGTTGAGCGTCCGACTTCAGCTCAGGTCATGATCTAACAGTTTGTGGGTTCGAGCCCGGCGTCGGGCTCTGTGCTGACCGCTCAGAGCCTGGAGCCTGTTTCAGACTCTGTATCTCCCTCTCTCTCTGCCCTTCCCCTGCTCACGCTCTCTCTCAAAAATAAATAGAACATTTAAAAAAATTTAAAAAGAGAGAGCATGAGAAAGGAAGGGGGAGAGAGAGAGAGAGAGCAAGAATCCCAAGCAAGTTCTGCCCTGTCAGCACTGAGTCTCATGTGGGACCCAACTCACAAACTGCGAGATCATGCCCTGAGCTGAAGTAAAGAGTCAGATGCTTAACCAATTTAGCCACCCAGGTACCCCATTATTTATTTATTTTAGAGAGAGAGCATGATCAACCAGGGAAGAGGCACAGGGGGAGAGAGAGAGGGAGGGGCAGAGAGACTCTTAGGCAGGCTCCACTCAGTGCAGAGCCTGACGTGGGGCTCCATCCAGTGACCCTGGGATCATGGCCTGAGTCAAAATCAAGAGTTGGACATTCAAGCGACTGAGCCACCCAGGTGCCCCTGAAAAACTATTTAAATGAGCAATGTTAAGAAATTAGCCTGGTGGAGAGGAAAGGGTTTCATGAGGTACCAAACTGCTTGGCCCTCTGGGTCCCCTGTGAGTTGGGGATACAGCTGGGATATTCTACCGCAAGCTCTTGGTCCTTTTCCTGGGGACCAGCTGGGGAGGCATTTCTCTGGTTCTTCTCTCTGCCTGCCAGGATCCTGTGCTCTCCGGGTGTTCCAGCCCCCTGAGATTCATATCCAGGAGGGCACCGCTGCTTTCTTGCCCTGCTCCTTCAATGCCAGCCGAGGGAGACTGGCCATTGGCTCTGTCACGTGGTACCGGGACAAGGTGGACCCAGGGAAGGAAGTGAGGAACGAGACGCCAGAATTCAGGGGCCGCCTGGCTCCTCTTGCCTCTTCCCGTTTCCTCTGTGACCACCAGGCTGAGCTGCACATCTGGGATACCCGAGACTGTGACACTGGAGTCTACGTGTGCAGGGTGGAGGTGCTGGGTCTTGGTGCTGGAACAGGGAATGGGACTCTGCTGGTGGTAGAGAAAGGTGAGGTGGGAGGCCCCTCTCCCTGGAAGTTGGGAGCCTTTCCCTGAGGCCTCCCTGAGCCTGTGCAGGCTTCTTCTGAGGCCCCTCCTTACCAAGCCCTTCCTTCTACCGCCCACATTCAGGACCTCACTGGCTAGGGGCCAGCACAGTCCTCCTCCTTCGGGCTGCATTCTATGCCTTCAGCTTTATCTCTGTGGCCATGGGCAGCACCATCTATTACCAAGGCAAATGTAAGGAATGGGGCCAGGGCAATGGTGGAAGAGAGCTGGAGGAGGGGGAGACACAACTAGGAAGAGGAGGGCTACGGTGATGGGCAACTCCTGTTGTCTCTCCTGCAGGCCACTGTCACCCGGGAACATGCTGCCACTCCTCAGAGGGCCTCTGATGAGTGATTCCAGACCCCAGCCATCCCAACTCTCTTCAGGAGACCCCAATAAATCCTTTTCTGCCTCACCGCTAACGCCTTATGAGTCTCATGAGTTTCCTTTTCCATTCTCCAGGTACCCAAAAATGTCCCTCTTTGGGGTCCCCTGACTCCTAACTCTCCCTTCTGCCAAGCCTGGCCTGGAAAGGTCCAAGGAGTGACCTTCCCAGTAATTGTGCCTGGGGCCCGTCCCATCACCATCCAGGACTCAACATCTCCATCCCTATGGGGTGCAGGGGGCTAAATCTGATTCTCCTGAGAAGCGGGGAGTATCGGATCTAATTAGTTCCACCTGTCATCTCCCCATTCCTGCCAGGCTCACACGTGTACTCTTTTTAGCCTTAAGGGAACCTTGGGTCCCTAAACACCCAAGAAATCACTCCTTGACCCCAGAGTGGGTGGGGAGATCCATCACTTAAGTTTTGGTGGTAGCCATGCTGAAATGGGACTGAGTGGAGTTGGACTGAGAACCCCAAGGCACAGAAGGTGGTGAGACCACGGTCTTTACTGGTCTTTCTTGGTTGGACCACAGTCCTGGGTTGGGGGGAGGCGTTTGGGGGAGCTCAGGTGGATTCGTTCTTGGCAATGCAGGCATATTCGGTGCTGGGGTCCTCCTTGGAGCCTTCCCTGTGGCTGAGGCCAGGCCCCTCACGGCAGGGCACAGGCAGCAGAGACGCATAGTGCAGCTCTTGCTCGGAGAGCTGGGCCTGGGGCGGGAGTAGAAGGTGCTGCTGAGAGGTCGCTGGAGGAGTCCCCTCCCCCGGGTCCTTCCTTGTGCTGCCGCCCTCCCCGCTTTTCTCATTGCCTCCTCAGTGCCCCCTGCCCTCTGTCTCTGCTGGCCTAAATTCTTTTCTCTCATTGCCTTCCTCCCTGTGTCTCTGTTTGCATTCATTATTCTCTCTCTTTTTCCCGTGCCCTGCATCTCTCTCATTCTCTCTGATTTTCTTTCTCACTCTTTGTCTCTCTGTTTCTCTCATTGCTCCCACTCTCTTTCTCCTTTCTTATTCCCTTTTCCTTTCTCTACACCATTTCTCTCTGCTCTTCTTCTCATCCAGATTTCTCTCTTTCTCCTCCTTTTTTTTTCCTCTGCGTCTCTGGCTCTCTCGTGCCCCTGTTTCCCCTCTCTTCTGTAGCCCCCCTTCTCGGCCCCCCAGCCTGGCCGTCCCCATCACCCACTCCCCTGCCCCTGGACTCACCCAGCTCCTCTCCAGCCTCCTCACTGGAAGAAAAGAAGAAACTCAGCAGGGTCCCCCCTCACTCTCCCAACCCCAGAGGGTGTTTCCTCACTTGCTGACATCTCTGTGGTTCCTGTTGCCCAAACGCCAGTTTCTCTCTTTGGACACCTTCCTCTCCTCTCTCCCACCCTCCTCTCCCAGGGTGTGTGGGAATTGACGGGGACTTCTGGGAAAGCAGCAGGAAAGGGAGTGGGTGGGGGCAACACGGGGCATTGCGGGGGGCGAATGAAGGAGGTGAGATTGGGGCTCACCTTTCCGATGCAGCCGACACAGACAGGCAGACAGAATGACCACAGCCAGGAGCAGGAGCCCCCCCAGGCCCAGGCTCCCACCAAATAGATAAAGACATATATCTATGGGGAGAAGGGGTAGGTATCAGGGGCCCGTTTCTCCCTTCAACTTCCCCCATCCTCCTGGTTGGCTGAGGGCATCTCAGCTCCCCTCACCAACAGTTTTAGAGGCAGAAAAACAGACTCAGATTCTTCAGCCCAGATCGGGTTATCTCACCTCCTACCAGAGGTGCCCACCTCTCACCTGTTACCTCACCCACACCCACAACTACTCACCCCTCAGAGGCTTCCCACTGCCATCCGGGCTGTCTCTGGGCCTCCCCATGAGGTCCCTTGCCCACCCGGACCAGCTGTCCTTTGACCACCTACCCATGAATGCACATACTGTTGTTTACCCACAACCCTCCCTGTGCAGAGGGTTACCTTACCCTCTTTCCATTCCTTACAAGTTGCCATTAGGTCGAGCACTGAAGACTGGCCTGGAGGTCAGGAAACCTACCCCCTTGCCCTGCTAGGCTAAATGGCCTGGGGAGAGTCACGTGCCTTAAGTTCCTCATCTGTAATGTGTGGGGCCCTCTGTTACAATTGTTCCAGGGCTGAGGAGCCCCACGTATGCTAACCCTGAACTGGGCGCTTTCCATTTGTCACTGCTAACCCCCACTACCCAGGGTACTGTGGTGTCTGTTTCCCTGGTGGGAAACCTCGGCTTGAGTTCAGACTTTTACTTACAAGGAAGTCCAGCCCAGGAGTGGCAGAGCTGGGGTTCAAAGCTGGCTGTGTCAGCTCCAGAGTATACTTTCTTTCCTCTGCCCTAGGCTGACTAGGTAGCTCAGAGGGGCCTCTCCAGAACTGGATAGTTTCAGGTTCCGGTGAGCAGCTGATGAAGGAGGAAACAGGGTTTTGAGTGTGTGTGTGGACCCATGAAAAATAGGGAGGGTGGTGTCCAGTACCACCTGGCAGCTGGGGCTGCTCCCTCCGCCCCAGAGCCACTCAGGACAGCAGAGCCCTGTTTGGCTGGGGTGGAGAGCCACTTCCCACGGGCAGATACTGCTAGGGCTGAAGTAGGGCCTGGAGAAATGTCTGGGCCCCGTAACTTCCCCTTAGGCACTTCCTGCCCTGTAACCACTGGTTCCTGTTTGAGGGCAAAGAGGGGGTAGTTGACTTCACACCAGAGCCAGCTGCACTGACCAGGGTCTGGAAACTGGGACCTTCCTGGGTTTAAGAGGAATGATGAGGGTGGTGTGTGGGGGGTGGGTTGGGACCAGAAGCACAGGTGGAGAGGAGGGCCCATGGTAGCCATGAAAGGAAGTGGGGGCAGAAGTGGATTGTATTAAATTCTTTAGGGAGCAGAGGCAGAGGCTGGACAGCAGATGACTCCAGGGCTCTAGGAACCTCAAAACCATCCTTTCTTCCCTCATCTTAGCTTCACCTCACTGTGGGGTGTGACTGCCACCCCCCACCCCCATTTTCCCCACCAGGGTCCCTGTTCTCTCCCAGTTTATGCAGAGCCTTTGGCCTGCTGGTAGACAGACGCCAGACTGGCCAGAGCTGCCTGGGTAGAGAGGTGTTGTCACTTCAGACATTCTGGCCTCTCCTCTGCCTTTAACTTCTCCCCAAGTGTGGGCACTTCCCTAGCTTCCTTTGTAGAGGAAGTCAGGCCTTGAGTGTTAGGGTTACATCTTTCCTTTCAGACTCCTAGGACTGTAACTAAATCTATAATCCCCTTCAGCTCCAGCCATCCTATTGATCCCACAAGTCATCAGTGAATGTATACCTCCTCGAGGTACCCTCCCAGATTAGTCTTTCCCCAATTTCCCCTCACACTGCATCTGCGGAGAGCTCTTGATCCCAGTGTACATGTGTAGACACACACCCAGGCTCCCATATGAGATTGGAAGCTCCAGTAGATTTGGGGTAGCTTGCTTGGTGTTCTGGGGCTATACCCTAGCAGGGCACTTGGCTGACTGATTAACAAACAGGAGAGTCAGAGGCAGCTAGACTAGATGTACCTGAGTACTGCTGATAGTCTAGGACAGAAAGCTGATGATGAGTTGGTGTTCGGAAAGGAAGTATGGACAATCTAGGTAGACTTCTTACAGGAGGCAGCATTCTGTGGTTGAGCACAAAAATAAGAGTGGTGATCCAAGATCTTCTGGACCGAGACCTGGATGAAGGCCTCTTAGGGACACCGAGATGGAGAGGGAGATGGGTGCTGGAGGAGTGCACACCCAGTTCTTGAGGAGGGTGAAGACTGGGGAGCTCATGTGGAGGCAAGGGGAAAAGGAGGGTATCTGGTGGCTGGGTCCATATGCATTTGCATTGCCTTCTTCAAACTCAAAGAAGGCATTTCTGGCATTTCTTCCCCCTCCCCCCTGTCCACAATATTCCCCATGCTGGATGGTAGGACAATATTTAGGGTTGTTTTTTAAAATTTTTAAACACATTTTATTATTAAAATGTCCAAACAGAACAAAATTGAGATAATTTTACAATGAACATATCTACCACATAGATTCTAAAATTGACTGTTTTCTTTTTTTAATTAAAAAATTTTTTAATGTTTATTTATTTTTGAGAGAGAAAGACACACAGAACACAGTGGGGGAGGGGCAGAGTGAGAGGGAGACACAGAATCCCAAGCAGGCTCCAGGCTCTGCGCTGTCAGCAGGGCTCGAACTCAAACAGATCATGATCTGAGCTGAAGTCAGACACTTAACCAACTGAGCTACCCAGGCACCCCAACAGTTTTCTTTCTTTTTTTTTCTTTAAAAAAAATTTTTTTAATGTTTATTTTTGAGACAGAGACAGAGTGTGAGCAGGGGAGGGGCAGAGAGAAAGGGAGACACAGAATCAAAAGCAGGCTCCAGGCTCTGAGCTCCGAGCTGTCAGCACTGAGCCCGATGCGGAACTCGAACTCAGGGACCGGGAGACCATGACCTGAGCCAAAGTCACTTAACCGACTGAGCCACCCAGGCGCCCCACCCCAACAGTTTTCTATATTGCTTTATTACATACCTGTCTATTTCATTTTTTGATACCTTTCAAAGTTGCAAACATCAGTACGTTTTATCTCTAAGCCTTTTAAAAAATTAACTTGTAAACATTTATTTATTTTTGAGAGAGAGAGAGAGCACACACGCATGCACACGCAGGGAAGGGGCAGAGAGAGGAGACAGAAGATCTGAAGCAGACTCCCCACGCTGAGAGCCTGATGCAGGGCCAAACTCATGAACCATGAGACCATGACCTGAGCCAAAGTCAGACGCTCAATGAACTGAGCCACTCAGGCACCCCTGCCTCTAAACCTTTTACCATGCTTATCGTTGACTTGAGTCAAGATTTTGTTTCCTCATTTCTTTTTTGGGGCTCTGAGGAAGGCAAGATTTACATACACCAAAATGCACAAATCTGAAGTCAGCACTCAGTTTTTAAACTGTCTTGTGGTCAAGGCTCTGGAGCCAGACAGCCTGGGTTCAAATCCTGACTCTGCCATTACTGTGTGGCCTTTTAGAAGTTCTTTAAACTCTCTGTGCCTCAGTTTCTTCTTAGGGTTTTTGTCAGGATTAAAAGAATTATTATATATAAAATGTATAGGTCAGTGTCAAGCACATGCTAACTGCTATTTATATAATAGCTTTATTACTATTATTATTATTTTATTATTATTATTACCTAATAACAGAGATGGAGTGATGATCTAGCACCACATCCAACTTCCTTGGACCTGCTCTTTCCTCCCTGTAACTCCCACTGCATTGTCTATCATACCATTTATTGGATCCTTGCTGCTTTGTTTTGCTCACTCATTCATTCATTTGTGCTTTCTTCATTTATTCATAAACATTTAGTCAGCACCTACTAAATGGATGGGGCTTATTCTAGACAGCAAGGCTCTTTGAGGTGGGCCTATGCTTCATCACTCTACTGTCTACACTCTGTGTAGCAAGGGAGGTAATGCTCATTTCTATCCCTCCTCAGCGAGATGATAGTCGGTGGTGAGGCTGAGGTCCCTTTCAGCTGCTATTACTGTGGACTGGCTTAACTCTGCTTCTCACCAAGCTCTGGGGGTTAGGAGCGGGCAAGGAAATGGAAGGAGGAGGTTGGTCCAGTGTGGGCATAAGTTCTCCAGAATGCAGACATCCATCCCTCAAGTTCTCAAGGACATGGCCACCGCCCTTCTTCCAGCACCCACCACCAGGGTGTAGAAGAATGCAGACTGCCCTGGAAATCTGGACTTCTGTGTTCTCGTTGCAGCTTTGCTGCCTGACTTTCTGTAAGCTGCCTTCCCTCCCTGGGCCTCAGTTTCCCTCCCTGCTTAACCAGATGACCTCTAAGGCCCCCTCCAGCTCTATCCTGCAAGCCGGTCTCTTCACCCCAACTCCTTCCCCAGTTCAGAGAACCCGGGCATCCAGCTGCCCCACCCCAGCTCTGGGTAAACAGGAAGCTGGGTGAGGGGAGCAAGGGGTGTGCGGAAAGTCCCAGCCAGGTGTGTGGGTCTATGGGGAGGGGGTAGCCCCACCCCTGAGGTATGAAAGCCCCCCTGCCCTGGTCCTGGCTCAGTCTCCATGGGGGCACTGGGGCTGGAGGGCAGGGGTGGGAGGCCCCACGGGAAGGGCTGCCTCCTGCTGGCTGTGGCAGGAGCCACTTCCCTGGTGACTCTGCTGCTGGCTGTGCCTATCACTGTCCTGGTTGTGCTGGCCCTGGTGCCCCAGGAGCAGGGAGGACCGGTGAGTAGCTGCAACCAGCCCTGGGAGGGCTGCATGTTGCTGAGGCTCACTTACCTCTGGCTGTGCCTGGGGTGCCTCTTGCCCCGTCCTGCTCAGCTGGCCTGGCTGTCCCCGGTGGGTGGGGATGCCTTGTTTGTCTCTCTGCTGGCCCTCTTTCCAACATCCTGTGGTGCTGTTGTGTTCTGACATCTCCAAGCTCCTGCCTGCTTGCCTGGCTGTCTCCTCTCCTCTTCCCAAGACATACTCAGGCCTCTGTCTCCGTCCAAGTACATACGCTTTGCTTGCTCTCATTTCCAGGGAGATGTATGTTGGGGATGGGACTGGTAGGAAAAACCCTAGGCCTGGAGCTTGGGTCTATGTTGGGAGCGGTGGGGTTGGCATCAGCTAAAACTGAACTCTGGGCACTGTGACCCCACCCACCCAGGTAACAGGGACTGCTGACCCGGGGGCCCAGGCCCAGGCCCAGCAGCGATTGGGTAAGAGCAGACCATCACCCCCTCCCCTGCTCCAGCCCTTCAGGGATGCCTAGCTCTCCTCCATCTGTATCCCCAGATGAGCTTTTCCTCCCGGAATCCAGGTGCCTCATCCTTGGGCCCTGGCCCCCTGTCGTCTCAGGGGGACCATGCATGGATGGCCACCCTGGCCCCCAATTGTGGACTCTTCACCCCTTCCAGGGTCACAGGAGCTGCCAGAGGAGGAGGCAGGAACAGATTTCAGCTCCAGGCTCCCAGCTGCCCACCTCATAGGTAAGGATCTCAGGGGTAGTCCAAGGATGCCAGTTCTGCTCGCCCAGAGTCCCTTTGCTCTGTTATTGCAGGGCTCGGTTTCCGACCTGCTTCACCACCTTTCGTCCCTAAAGTGTCCACCTTCTGCTCCTCCCGCTTTCGCTTCTTGCTTCCCTACTGGAGCAGGCAAAACCCGGCCTGGATCTCCCCACCACAGCGCTCTGCACCCCACACTCAGGTGCTATTAGTTCCCTTGGTCATAATCATTGCCGAGGTGGCACCACGACCTTCGCCCTCCCCATTCCACACCCCACCCCTGTTCGGGGGGCGGAGTTAAAAGGCCCTGCAGGGGGGTTAAAAGTCCCCATTCTCCCGCCTGCTCACCCTTCCAGAAGCCCCGGGCCTGGATCGTTCCTTTGGAATGGGGTTCCCGAGAGCCGACAGGCCCGTTTCTCTGCAGGCGCTTGGACGAAGGAGCAGGGGCTAGGCTGGGAGGCCAAGAAAGAAGAGGCGTTTTTGAGGAGCGGGACGCAGTTTTCCGGCGCCGAGGGACTGGCGCTCCCACAGGACGGCCTCTATTACCTCTACTGTCACGTCGGCTACCGGGGTCGGGCGCCCCCTGCGGGCGACGGCTTCCTTGACCACTCGGTCACGCTGCGTAGCCGGCTGTACAGGACGGGGGGCGCGTATGGACCTGGGACTCCGGAGCTGCTGCTGGAGGGCGCAGAGACCGTCACCCCGGTCTTGGACCCGGCCCGGACGCACGAGTACGGGCCTCTCTGGTACACGAGTGTGGGCTTCGGCGGCCTGGTGCAGCTCCGGAGGGGCGAGAGGGTGTATGTCAATATCAGTCACCCCGATATGGTGGATTACAGGAGAGGGAAGACCTTCTTTGGGGCTGTGATGGTGGGGTGAGGGCCACCTGCGACCCGGGGAAAGCGACTGCATGGCTGGAATGTGTGACTCAGCCCAGATATTGGGGACCCGGCCTCTAGGGACCCCGTAACAGTGGGAAAAATGAAGGAGACTGTATGAAAACTGATTTCGAGCCTGAAGAAAATAAAGAGTGTCAAGCTTCAGTGCTGCCAAATACAGATGCTGAGATGCTAATATGTCTTAATTCAGGGTTGGTAAAGAAGTGTTCGTTAAATATTTTCTCTTTTTCTGGTCCCTTGAAACAATTCATATCAATTCCTATGGCCTTTGCTCTCTGAAAAAGGCTATCTGAGAGTTTCCCACCCACCACCTGCCTCTGAATGGATTTGCCCCAACCTTAGCCCAGTTGGAAGGGGGAAGAAGGGGATATCAAACTGCAAAGCATCTCCAAGCATCCTTATTCTCAAAGCCACATCGTCCTCAGCTGACTCCACACTGCAGTTTCTCTTGGGTCCCTTCCATCAGCATCAGCGACAGGGATCACTACAGGGGAAGGCAAGCCCGTTCTGAAAGACCCAGGGAAAGACCTCTGAAAAACCCAAGGAAGGAAGCCCTGAGGGCCTAGCTGTTCTCGGCTGCCTGCCTGACTGCCTGAAGGCCCCTTTAGCCACTACCTTCAAGGAAAAACACAGCTCTCGGGTGTGAAGGGAGGAAGCTGAAAGACAGAGTTGGAGTGGGGAGAGGAGAGTGACTGAGGACACCAGGGAAAACCTGAGGAGGAGAGGGAGGAGGAAAATCTGTGGCCACTAGGCCCTGTCCAGGGAGAGATGGAAAGTCCTCACCCCTTGTTCACACTTCAGCTCCGCTTTCCATTCATTGGCAAGTATTGGGGCCCCAGGGTGAGTAATAGCAGGCACCTCACCCCATGACCCACTTTCAGCTCCAGGCTGAAGGAGGCAGAGAGGGACCCGAGGCCCTATCTAGGTCACCCCAGTGGGTTATCCCATTGTGGCAGACCACACAGCTTTCCCCTGCCTGGCAGCCCTGGCAGGAAGGAAGGGCCAACTTCTAAACCCAGTGGGGACTCCCACTCTCTGGGTCTTCATTTCTTTTTTTAAATGTTTATTTATTTATTTTGAGAGAGAGAAATGGCAAATGGGGCAAGGCAGAGGAAGAAAGTGAGACTCTCAAGCAGGCTCTTCACTGTTAGCACAGAGCCCAATGCAGGACTCAAATTCACCAACTGTAAGATAATGACCTGAGCAGAAATCAAGAGTCAGATGCTTAACTGGCTGAGTCACCCAGGGCCCACTGGGTCTTCATTTCTGACTCCGTATTTGTCTTTGACTGTTCCGGAAGAGTCTTCCTGGCGACACAGGTACTTTTTTCTCCTTTGAGCTCACTTACCTCATGTCCCTCCCCTCATCATTCACCAAGAAAATCTGTGAGAGCTTGCCTGTGAGTCCTTTACCTGCATCTTATTCCTCTTTTTAAATTTTCCTTCGTCTCTTCAAGTCCATCTACTGAGACACGGAAACAGAACAGCTGGGGGCTGGATAAAGGAAGAAAGACAGAATTCACTGAGTGCTTGCTATGCCAAGAGCTATGCTAGGTGCTCTCGTGTAGTTTAGGGCTTCTGTTCTCTCGTGGCCCCACATGCAGTATCTTCATTGGGTAGATGAGACTTAGCAACTGGTTCAGCTTGCACAGCTAGGGCTGCTGGGGAAGCCTGGGATCATTTGGAGCCCTGATGCCTGAATGTCTGAAAGTCCTTTGGCTGTGATTCAGGTGCCTGAGAATGCAGCCCTTCCCAAGCTCTCCTGCAGGCTGCAACGCCGGAAATCTCACCTGAACACTTAAAGTGCAGGACTTCCCCGGTGGAATTCCCAGAGCTGGAAATTCCCATGCCCTGAGGGAGAGGTAATTAGGTTCAGACTCCAATTTCCTGGAGGAGGGGCATATTTGGCTTGGCTTTGTTTTATGTAGGGTCTCCTGAGCCCAGTAGTCTATAAAGAGTGGGGAATGGGTTCAGGGATCTTTTTTTTTGTAACTTTTATTTGCATTTATTTTATGGGTTCAGGAATTTTAAGCCAGGTAGAGAGAGAGGACTTTGGGGAGTGGCTCCCCACCCCCAAAGAGAAGCAGTCTCAGAATTAATTCCAACAAAGAGACCATGTTTCTTTTCTAGGCACATTTTATTTCTCGCCACTGACCAGTAGGGCGGTTACAGACATAACTCCCCTGGGGAGCAGAGGTTCAGCGATGTAGTGACAGTCAGTCACCAAATCAGCATTAATTAGACAACTCGATCAGATAAATATTTTTAAAAATATGTAAGCAAAAGGAGGCACAGAGGCCAGGAGGCCAGGTGGGAAGAGCCTAGAGTTCAGTTCCGTTTTCACAGAAAACATGTCCGAATCAAGGCAGCCCCTTCATTCGGTCTCCCAGGACACCCCAACCTCCCAAATAAATACATTCATCAGTAAATAAATAAATAATAAATAAATAATAAATAATAACAAGTGCAAACATAAATAGAGGAAGCTGGCCCCGAGAGGGAGGGGCTGGGCTTTCCATCTCAGGAAAGAGTCTGGAAACATCTGAAGAAAGGGGGGTCTGAGGTCCACTCATGTCAAGTTCTAGATGAGATCTTCTTAAGGGATGTTCTGAAGTGTTCTGGCCAGAAAGGTTCCCTGACCTCCACATTCCAGGTGTCTCAGGTTGCATTGAGGAATCCAAACCTGAGATCTCCAGTGAATGCTGGAAGCCTCAGTTTGAATTCTTGCTGGTGGCCAGTGCTCCAAAGTCCAGGTCCCTGGATCTTAGGTTTGTAAGTGTTGTTATTTAAAGTTCTAAGCTTGCGGCCCAGCCCCGAGCCCCTCATTCTCTTTCTAAGCCAGAAGGGGATGAGGGGGTCAGAAAGAGCAGATAACAAAGGGGTTGAGGTGGGCAAGGATGGACGTCTGGCCCCCTCACAGGGCAATGATTCCAAAGTAGACCTGCCCGGACTCGGCAAAGTCGAGATAGTCAGGCAGATTGATCTCAGCGCTGAGTCGATCACCCTTCTCCAGTTGGAAGACCCCTCCCAGGTAGATGGGCTCATACCAGGGCTTGGCCTCAGCCCCCTCTGGGGTCTCCCTCTGGCAAGGGCTCTTAATGGCAGAGAGGAGGTTGACCTTGGTCTGGTAGGAGACGGCAAAGCGGCTGATGGTATGGGTGAGGAGCACATGGGTGGAAGGGCATCTTTGGCCCGTGAAGAGGACCTGGGAGTAGATGAGGTACAGCCCATCTGAGGGCACCATCAGCTGATTGTCTGTAAGCTCCACACCATTGGCCAGGAGGGCATTGGCACGCCGACTCAGCCACTGGAGTTTCCCTTCAGCTTCAGGGTTTGCTGGAGGGAAGAAGAGAAGGGAGGGGTAAGTCAGTGTGACCCTGTCAGTTCTACTCTCCACATCCTGGCCCTCAAGTTCTGCCCAACCCCCCCCCCCACATCCGGTTCCTGTCCCCTGTCTGTCTTCCCGCATCTCATGTGGCCATGAGGTTCTGAGTGTCCCCCTCAAGGCCTGTGCTCCTCCTTCACTCTCTCCTTGAGCTCAGGGAGTCCTTCTCATACCATCTCCATGGTCTGTCTACCCTCAGGCCGGGTTCAGCCCCCCCAATCCTAGCCCTCTACATCCCATCTGCTTCACCATCCTCCAGCTACATCCTCAGAAGTCTTACCTACAACATGAGCTACTGGCTTGTCACTTGGAGTTCGAGATGATGATCCTGAGGAGGAAAGAGGAAAGAAAAGGTGAGACCTTTAAGCTTCCTGGAAAATATCCCATTACTTTGACTTCCATTCCTCTTCCTCCTCAAGCCAAAATGCTGAATTTCCCCCACTGCTGCTATCCCAGAAATAACTCCCACCCCCACCTAAGCCCAGAATCGGGAGAGAGGCTTTGGAGACACTTACTGAGTGTTTGGGGCAGCGGGTTGATTAGTTGGAGGCCATGTGGGAGCTGTAGGGGAGAAGAAGGAGGTTTAGCAACAGAACAAGTCACCCCTAAATGAGAAACAGCTATGCTGCTTATAGAGCTCATAGTCTAGTTTTCTCTCTCCGTTCATCCATTGATTCATCCGTTCAACAACACTTTTCACTGTCTTCCACGTGCCAGACACCCTATCTTCATCTTCCTTATCTCTTTCCTCACCTCTTTCCTTATCTCTCTCATATCGCCCACATCTTTGTGTCTCATGTCTTTATTCATATCACTTGTTCTTTTCCCATCTCTCCACACATCTCTCTCTCTCTCTGTGTCTATGTGTATGCTCATTTCTTCATTCAAGAAGTTTTTAGAGAGTGCCTTCCGTGTGCTCCATCCCTCTCTCTCTGCCTCCATCTCTCTCCACATTTCTTTCTGCCTTCCCGTCTTTCTCCATGTTTTCTCTCTCACCCGTCCCCATTAGTACACCTCCTTCTCCCACCCCATTTCTTGCCCTCCTTATCTCCCATTTCTCTCTGGGTAGGAGAATGAGCCAAGCCTTGGTGAGGCACTCACCTCTTCCCTCTGGGGGCCAATCACTCCAAAGTGCAGCAGGCAGAAAAGTGTGGTGGCTCCTGCCACAAGGAGGAAGGAGAAGAGGCTGAGGCACAAGCACCTTCTGGAGCCCTGGAGGCCCCCTGCCTTCTTGGGGAGTGCCTCCTCGGCCAGCTCCACGTCCCGGATCATGCTTTCAGTGCTCATGATGTTCTTCTTAGGGGGCTCAAGTCCAGCTGGGAGATGGTAGAGCCCTAAGGCAGTGTTTATGAGAGAGAGAGTCGCTTGTCTGTTTGTCTGGGGGTGTGTCGTCTGAGATGTTATTTCCAGGGGGGTCTGGAGTTGCTTCTCTCTCTCCTGGTTGGTCCCCTGGTGTCCTCGCTGAGGGAGCTTCTGCTGGCTGGGTGTGCAGACAGCTGCATTTATACACCCTGTGGCGAGAGGAGGGTGAGAGGAGGGCGGGGAAAAGCTCTCATTCAACCAGCGGAAAACTTCCTTGGTGGAGAAACCCATGAGCTCATCTGGAGGAAGCGGTAGTGGGCCCTACACCTTCTGTCTCGGTTTCTTCTCCATCGCGGGGGCGGGGGTTTGGAAAGTTGGGGACACCCAGGCATCAAGGATACTTCCTACCCACCCCACTCAGGTTCTGAGGAAGACTTGCTGGGCCGGTCACTGCTGTGTATGTAGGACTCTGGAGGTTGGACCCAGTTTCTCACTGCTCCCAATTCCCATTCCCTCCTTTTTTTTTTTTTTTTTTTTTTTTTTTTAGGATCAGGTCTGTGTGGCCTGTTTCCCTCTGATTTCCAGACAGGAGTAAGGTAGGTGTAGAGTTAGAAAAGGGAGGGGCTTCAGAAAGCTGTGTCCTTGGTGGGGAGAAACCTCAGAAGGGGACCTTTAGGGGAGAAAACTGTGCTGGGCCCTGAGACGTGTGTTTTGGTCCCTGGGGGAAAAAGAAGCTTGACAGAAGCAGCTTAAGGCTGGGGATGTGGATTGGGGTCTCTGAAAGGGCTGGAGAGGGGGTGGTAAATATCAGGGACATGCCCGGGACAGCCCCAGTGGGATTGAAAGCAACCCTGGGAATTCACAAACTCCATGAGGGCAGGCCTTCTCCTTTCATTCTGACCAAGGACTCAGCAGTGATAGTTTCAGTCTTGGCTTCCAAGGGAATCTGAGGTCTTGATTTTTGCACGAAACCTCCATCCCTCAGAGCCCCTGTGTGTGGCCATGTATCCCAAAGAACTCCAGCTCCCTCCAGAAATCTGGAGCCCTAGCCCTCAGGGCCCTTCTGCATCGCTAGGTCTCCTAAAATGTCCCCTGTGTTCCCCACCCCCCCAGACTTGGGGAGTCTCCCACTCCTTGGGATCCTTGCATGGCCATGTCTTCCAGAGAGTCCCCAGGTCCACCTCCATGGTCCTGAACACCCTTTGGTGTGATCACTTCTCCCAAGAGGCCCTCTGTAACCCCCTTTCCTCAGAGCCTCTACATGTGGCTGCATCTGCCAGTGGTCTCCTGCCCTCCATGCCTTCAGACCTTGGACCCCCATTTCTCCTTTTTCTTCCCAGCTTATCCTTTGGTTTCCCTGCAGCAGCTCTGGTTGCCTCGCCTCTATGACTCCACCACACTTCCCCCGAGCTCCTTAGGCTCTTTATCTCTTTGTATGCCCAAAGTTCTTGTCTCTTCTGGGGCCTCTGTCCTCCGGTTCCTGAGAGACTTGGGAAATTCTCCCCTCCCAAACAGACAGACATAGACAACATTTCAGAGAAAAGAGGTTTATTGGGCTTCATTGAAGGTGCAGATGTCTTCTCATGGGTGTCTGGTCAAGCAGTGGCTGGATCTTAAGAGTCTCTTTTTTTCCTTCTAGAGCTCCTCAGTGTCTCAGACCCACTTGTTTTCTCTCTCACTGGGTTATCCTTATGCTGATGTTCTCTTGCTCTTCATCTCTTGGGTGTATTTCTCTCTCTCTTCTGATGGCCCTCTATTATTCCCTTCCCTCCATCCTCCATAAATAAATAATTTAATTTTTTCCCTTCATAAATAATTCCCCCTCCCCTGCCTCCTGTCATCCACTCAAGCTCCTCCATGTGTCTGCCCCTTCCATGGGTAGGCCAGGCCTTCCTTAGATGGACAGGACAGATGAAGAGCTCTGGGTGGGAATTTCTAGGCAGACTTGAAATTCTCAGCCTTTCATTGGGGTAGTTCAGGGGGGTATGGTCCTCTGGGCTGCCTAGAATTCCTTCTTTGGAAGCTCCAGGTAACATGAGCAGGGGAGACTCGAGACAAGTGGAATGGTGGAAAGGGGTGTGGTGACCCTTGAAGTGGTCAGAATGGAGGCAAAATGGAAGAAGGTCTTGCAACCAATTAGTTTTCCTTCTGGAGTTTTCTACAGAGCAAAGGCTCCAAAGAAGACACTACTGGGGCTGAGGAGTAGGTGGGAGATGCCATCTGTGTGAGTGGATAGCTGATCTCCCTGTGTGAGCAGAAACACAGCTCCCTGGTACACAGAACGCACCCAAGGTCCCTGTGGCCCTGGGCACACGGACTTCTGAGCACTGAGGAGAGGCACGTGGAAAGGGTACTGGGAGGAGAAGAGCTGGACCTCATGGGCCAGGTAGAGAGGGGTTGGGGTGGCCTTGGGGAAGCAGCCTTCCCCGGAGAAGACCACCTGAGAGTAGACAAAGTAGAGGCCACTGGTGGGGACCAGGAGGGAATTGTTGCTCAAAGAGAAGCCATGGCGGAGGAAGGCACGATCCGTGTTTGCTCTCCAGCGCAGTGAATTCTGGGTGCTGGGGTCTCCTAGGAAGAGCCATAGGGGATGGGAGAGGTCAAGAACCTGGGGGTCAACAGTCTTAATCCTTGAGGAAGTAAGTGCTGGACTGGGTTCCTGGGGGACGGTTGGGAAGATAGATGGGAGAGGGATACCCCTGTTTGGAGAGGTGGAGAAAGTTGGAGGCGGGGTGCAGTAGATGTTTGGTTCCTTGAAGGGGGTGTAAGAAGAGATCTGGGGGCTACATGTCTGGAGGGCCAGATGGTGTTTACCAATAAGATGAGCAGCAGGTTTGAGGGTGCCTTGTGCGAAGTGCTTCTGAGGGTGCTGATAGGCAGTCCGGGCAGCTGAGGGTGAGATGTCAACACCAGGAAGCCCCTAGGGGAGAAGACGGTTGAAGGTGGTTCTAGGGCCCAAGTTTGGCTGGGCCACCCCTGAAGCTACCGTTCTCTTGCTGTCTCACCTGAGCCTCAGGCGGCAGGGCCAGCAGCAGCCCCAGAAGGAGGAGGAGGGGGGCGCTGCACACCCTCAGGAGGTAGAGCCGTCCAGGTGGTGTCATGGGGAGAATCTGTGGGGAGAGAGACAGTAGGTGGGGCGGGGCAAGGTGCGGATGACGGCCTCCTGCCCGCCTGCGGAGAGAGAGCCACCCAAGAGACAAGGCAACGGATAAGAGAAGGGGACAAAATGCAGTCAGGAAAACCCCAAGGTGAGCAGGGGGGGACAGAAAAAGAAACAGAGACACGGGAAGGGAACCGAGGGGGATCGTGGCAGAAACAGAATGTGTAATAGAGACAGAGAGAAAATGACTGGTGAAGAGTCAGAAGGAGGAAAAACCAAAACCAAACCCACCAAGCCCAGCCCCAGGCAGGAGGTACAGGAGGGGCTGGGGCGCAGGCGGAGGAGCAGGGTGCCCGGGGGAGCCCACCGCCCAGCAGCCCAAGGAGACGGGGTGGGAGAGTCTCACCTGCTCTGTGGGGCCCCTGGCCCGGACGCCTGGGTCCCTTTATAGAGGAAGCTGCAGTGGCAGCGTGGCAGGCGGCGGGCGGGTTCTAGGCCCTGGCTGGGCCGGGGAAGCCCCCAGGGCTTAGAAGATGCTGCTGTTTCAGTCGAAGGCAGGAAAGGCTGAGGCCTAGGAGTGAACCGCAGGCCGGGGGCTCAGACGACTGAGTTCTGGGAAAGGGAGTGGGGTCAGGGGAACCGTGGGCTGGGAGGGGCAGGGAGCGGGGTCAGGCTTAGGAGTTCCAGAGAAGGGACGGACAGTCAGTTCGGAGAGGAGTGGGGAGCAGCTGGGGCGTGGGCTGGAGGCCCGGTTCCCTGAAGAGCGATTATATATAACACCTCTGCACCCTTGGTTGATTACAGGCTACTCTCTGTGCCCATTTCCTCCTCTTATACCCCCCCCCATCCTTGTCCCAAACAGCTCAACTCACATTTGTCCCAGTATGTGGACTTCCCTGGTCATCTGGCAGGTTTTATATCAAGAAGTTCCGTGATCTTCCCCTTTGCCTGCGACATTCTGGTTTATGCCTGATGTCCTGGTGAAAATGTTCATGGATCTCCCTTTTGCTCTCAAAAGTGTCCTGGTTTGGAAGATAAATGTTATGGTTCCCCTCCTCAGAGATGTTGTCACATACTCATGTATGATGAGGTCTCCTCTCACTGCAGAGGGGTGTCTTCTATCTCATCTCCACCTGAGGCAGCCCTCACAGATCAGATTTATGTAACCCCAAACAAACGTGCTCTGGTATCAAGGAATGTAGCAACTTCCAAAGTTCTTTACCAGGGAAGGCTTTGGAATTTCACACAGGAGGGGCTGGAGGGTGGTGAGCTAGGGTAAGGTGGGGACAACCACAGGATTTATCTTGAAGCTGCATTTGCAGAACCACTATTCGGTTTTAAAATTGTTAAAGATTTCTCCCTTTGAACTAGGGTACAGTTAGGCACACATCTCTTAAGAGTATAGCCTGCCGAATTTTTCCATCTGCTTATAGCCATGGAGCCATCATATTTTCAGATCCCCAGAAGGTTTTCTCATGTCCCCTCCGAGGTGATACCCTCCAAAGGTAACCAACACTTTCTGACCTCTGTCACCACAGATTAGTTGTTCCTGCTTTTGTATGTATAGATGAAGTCACATAGCATGTACTTGTTTGGGTTTAGCTTCTTTCACTCAACATGATGTTTGTGAGATTCATCCATGTGGTTGCATATCAGTAGTGGTTGGTTGGTTTGTTTCTCATTATGATGTCATAGTCTATTGTATGAATACACTCTAATTTATTTACTCATTCTTCTGTTGATGGACATTCGATTTATTTCTACTTTTTAGCTGCTATGAAAGATGTTGATATGAACATTATTTTATTTTTATTATTTTTGAGAGAGAAAGTTCGAGCAGTGGAGGGGCAGAGAGAGAGGAAGAGGGAGATAATCCCAAGCAGGCTCCATGCTGTTAGCGCAGAGCCTGATGCAGGGCTTGAACCCACAAACCATGAGATCATGACCTTAGCTGAAGTCAGATGCTGAACTGACTGAGCCACCCAGGTACCCCGATATGAGCATTCTTATACATGAGCCAGTTTTCACTTAATTTGTAAGTACGAAAGCAAGTTTTCCAATGATGATTTTATCCGTGTTTCATAAGATTGAGAAAATAACAATTGGCTATGTCAAATATCATCATTTTTTTTGAAGTTTATTTATTTTGATAGAGAGATGAGGGAAGGGCAGAGAGAGAGGGAGAGAGAGAAAATCCCAAGCAGGCTCTGCACTATCAGCACCAAGCCTGATGCGGGCTTGAACCCACAAACAGTGAGATCATGACTTGAGCTGAAACCAAGAGTCAGATGCTTAACCAACTGAGCCACCCAGGCACCCCAAATATCATTATTATTCTTACTGATGTTGACATGCTTTCATTTTGAGTGTTTAGAATGGCTAAAGCCCTCCCTCTACGGCATTAGGCATATTGTTGTTCTCCTCTGGCACAAACTTTCTGAGTTGTCTTGGTGTCCTGTGGCATGCACATAATAAGTAACATTCAGGGTGTGTAGAAGCCATTTCTCCTGTTTTCCTCCTCTTTCTTGAGGCCCTTTGCTTTTCATGCCTTCCAATCTTATCTATTATTTCTTTTCACTCTCCTTCTACCTCTTTACCTTTCTCTGGATTTCACAAACATTTCCTGAGTACCTTGGACAAGCAATGAGGATGCAAATGTGAAAGATAGTCCCCTGACCTCTGGGAGGTCAAAGACAGAAAAGTTGAAAGCTGTAGGAAGACAGGAAAGTTACCAGATCATTACAATAAAATGTGTTAGTGGGCAGCCCATAGAAAAGCCATTGAACTTGGCCTGGGGGAGGGGTGTCAGGCATTAAGTGTTGAGGCAAAGAAGATGGCAAGGAGCATTCCAGATGGAGGGAACAGTATGTGCAAGGGCTGGAGGTAAAGGAGAGTATGAAATGTGCCAAAAGGTGCAATAGGGTACAAATAGAAGAAGCAGAGATGAGGCTTGGGAGGTAAGCCGAGAATACATTCTAAAGGGTTTAAAACTAAGAAAAGAAGTTTTATTTCATTCTAATTATAATGGGGAGCCACCAATATATATATTTTTTTAATGTTTATTTTTGGAGTGCCTGGGTGGCTCAGTCAGTTAAGTATCCGACTTTGGCTCAGGTCATGATCTCACAGCTCGTGGGTTCGAGCCCCATGTTGGGCTCTGTGCTAACAGCTCAGAGCCTGGAGCCTGCTTCTCATTCTGTGTCTCCCTCTCTTTCTACCCCTCTCCTGCTTGTGCTCTGTCTTTTTCTCTCTCTAAGATAAATAAGCATTAAAAAATAATAATAAATATTTATTTTGTTTTTGAGAGAGAGAATGAGATAGTGAGTGGGGGAGGGGCAGAGAGTGAGGGAGACAAAGGATCCAAAAACGGATCCACCATTTTTAAGTGAGACAGGGATTCATGCAAATAGGTACCTTGGAAAAAAGAGTCTGGAAGCTACATGAAGAATGGACTGGGGTATGGGACTTAGGGAGCTGGAGGGAAAACCAGAAGTGGAGGCTGGTAAGAGAGTTGTGCAATAACCCAGCAAGGAGATACAAGAGCCTACATTACATCGAGGCAGCAGCAGGAGGATGGAAAAGAGGAGAGGTTGTTTTTTTTAAATGTTTATTTATTTTTGAGAGCGAGAAAGAGACAGACAGAGTGTGAGTGGGGGAGGGGCAGAGAGCGAGGGAAGCACAGAATGTGAAGCAGGCTCCAGGCCCTTAGCTGTCAGCACAGAGCCTGATGCAGGTGCCCAAACTCACGAACTGCGAGATCATGGCCTGAGCCGAAGTTGGACGCTCAACCGACTGAGCCACCCAGGTGCCCCAGGAGGAGAGTTTTTGAGGCAAAATCTACAGGTCTTGGTGGCTGACCAGATGTGATGGACAAAGAGTAGCCACAGCTGCCCCTTGTAAATATCTCTGTCGATATGTTGGCTGCTTCTTATTCTTTTAACCTCCTCTCTCTTATGTCTCTGTTGGTTTTCCTCTTGGTCCCTGTTCTTTTCCTTTTCTGTGTCCCCTTTCCTCTGGGGTTCCTTTTTCTTCCTGTTGTCTCCTTCTGTCTCTCTGATGGTAGAAGCTGATGGATCAAGAGACCTCATTTGTATTAAAATATAAAACAGTGTTGCAATTAATGGTGAGAAACTGAGAAAGGGAGAAACTTAGGTCAGAGAGGAAGACTGGGGCATTGAGGGACAAAAAGGGGAAGGTGAGAAAGAGTGATGGGGAGACATGAGAGACAGAGAGGAAGGAAGGGCAAGAGCTGGGCTGAGGCTCAGTGTCACGGGCGTTTGTGATGTGCTGAAGGGCGCTCCTTGAGATGGGCCAATCTTGGTTTCAATCTCAGTTTCGGAGGTTGTGTGAAATTCGGTTTCTTTCTTGGGGAGGCCAGCAGTTGGTTTGGGGCTTTCCCTGGGTGGGAGGGGTGATGACTAGAGTCTTGTGCCCCAAACCCAGGGAAATACAGTCTCTACAGTGGAGAAACTAGTGAAATCTCTGAGGCCTCCAAATGAAGTTGAAATGACGTTAGCTTCAAACTTGAACTGAGCTTCACCACCTAAATTGGGATTTAATAAGTTTAACCCTAACTCAAATTTAACTTCTCAACCCAAATCGCAACCCAAACTCAACCCTAACCACAAATCTAAACACATACCAATAAATGAACCTGAAAGTAAACTTACCCTCTAAACTAACATAACCTTGTTTCCTACAGCTAAATGTTGAAATCTACTCATCTCCATACCTGACCCTATAGTTAAACCTAACTCTAAAGATAAGTCCAATCTAAGCCAGAAACCTGAAGTTGAGCTATCTCCTGTTTCACCCCACTATTTATCCATCCCTCCATTAAAAAAAAAAACTTTATTGGGGGCACCTGGGTGGCTCACTTGCTTAAGCATCTGACTCTTGATTTTGGCTCAGGTCGTGATCTCAGGGTTTGTGAGATCAAGTCCCTAGTTGGGCTCTGTGCTGACAGCATGGAGCCTGCTTGGGATTCTCTCTCTTCCTCTCTCTCTCTGCCCCTCCCCTGCTTGGTCTCTCTTTCTCAAAATAAATAAATAAACTTTAAAAAAGTTTTCATTATACTCTGGGCACTGTCCTAGGTAGTAGGTTTATGGTGGCAAAGAAATCAGACATCCTAGCAAGGCAGAAAGGAAATAACACTGAAGAAGTCAGTAAGTGGCGCTATGAGGAAATAATACAGGGCATGTGATGAGTGGCAGAGGACTACTTTAGACACAGAGGTCAGAAAAGTCCTCTCTGAGTAAGTGGCATTTAAGCTGAGATCCAAATGACAAGTAAAAGTGACCAGGTGAAGGTTTAGGGGAGAAGCATTCCAGGCAAAGGGAAGAGCCTACTGCAAAGGCTGGAAAGTAGAAATGAGCTGGGGGTGTTGAGGAACTGAAAGGAAACCAGTGTGGCTGGAGCAGAGAGAGAGTGGGAGAGGGGTGGGAGATGAGGTCAGAGAGAGGAGGCAGGATCCAGATCACACAGGGCCATGCAGAGGGAAATAAAGCATCTGGCTTCTATTCAACCATGGGAAGCCTTTGGAAGGTGTCAGTGTTTATGTGTGTGTGTATAAGGGGGGGAGGGGGGTATAGGGGGTGGGAAGGAGGAGGACGAGAGAGAAAGAGGAGAGAGGCAGGGGTGATTGGATTTATGTTTTAATTTTTTAACTTTTATTAAAAATTTTTTTCTTGAGAGAGAGTGAGCTTGCACGCGCAGTCACCCAAGCAGGGGAGAGGCAGAGAGAGAGAGAGAGAGCAAGGGAGAGAGAGAATCTCAAGCAGTTTCCATTCGAGGCCTGGTGCCCCTACGTGGGGCTTATCGAGGGGCTTGATCTCACAACTGTGAGATCATGATCTGAGCTGAAATTAGGAGTCTAACACTTAGCTGACTGAGCCACCCAGGCAGCCCTGGATTTGTGCTTTTATTTTTTTTAAAATTTTTTTAATGTTTTATTTATTTCTAGGAGAGAGAGAGAGAGAGACAGCGTGAGCAGGGGAGGGTCAGAGAGAGAGAGAAACAAAAACTGAAAAAGGCTCCAGGCTCTGAGCTGGCAGTCAGCACAGAGCCCGACGCGGGGCTCAAACCCACGAACCGCGAGATCATGACCTAAGCGAAAGTCGGACGCTTAACCAACTAAGCCATCCAGGCACCTCCCCCCCTTTTTTTTTTAATTGGATTTGTGCTTTTAAAAGATCCTGTGTTTAGACTGGATTGTAGGAGGAAAGAGTGAAAGCATGGACACTGGTTAGGAGGCAATAGCAGTAATAGCAAGAGAGAAGATGGTGGCAGCTATGAGAATGGAGAGAAGTAGATGCATTTGGGATATGTTTCAGGGGTAGAATTGCCAGGACTAGATGATAGATTGGATGGCAGGGGAGTGGGGGTGGAAGATAGAGAGATGGAAATGGATTCTGATGAGGTGGGAAAACCAAAAGTTCAATTCTGAATAGGTTAAGTCTAAATCTTTGGGGCAGACATCCAAGTGGAGACGTCACTTGGCAGTGACATA